GGGCAGTTTCCCCTTTGTCATTTCTCCCTCAGTGTTCATGGCAGCCACCTTTGGTCAACGCAGCTCTAGGCACGGAAGACAGTTGAGAGCCCTTCCCCAGAGGCACCTGCCCCGAGGGCTGCACCCCTCTGCCCAGAAATAGCAAAGGGAAGGGCCATGCAGGGTGGGCTAGGTCTTAGGACTATAGCCTCTTCTTTGGAGCGCAACTAACCACTTTTCTGAAGAATGGTTTTGACACTAAGGTGATGTTATTTATTAATTAAAACATCCTTTTTGAAAACAACAAGTATCCACTGCATGTCACTTCCATTCGTGTTTTAACTTCTCCATTCCTAGGAAGAAGCCCGACCTGAGTATTTGTTTTAAATCCAAGTCCAGAGAAAGGGCGGCTGGATGTGAACATGTAAAACTCTTCTAGGGCACAGATTCCTAGCCTAGGACACAACCTCCCAGCCTGGGGCACACCCTCCCAGGATGGATGACAGCAGGCACCGCTTTCTCTGGGTGATACGCCCGTCTTTCATCTGGTTGGCATTTTTCCCAATCAATTATACACACACACACACACACACACACACACACACTCTTTTGGACTTTGTTTCCATGTAGGGGCCTAAAGTCTCTTGTGGAAAGAACCACACGTCCATTGCTATCTAGTTAGTGTGTAGGGGATTTGATGAGAGCAACTCAGTCCCTGGAGTCTGCTCAACTCTGGAAGCACAGATGGAATCTATGGCCTGGCGAGCTCCACCGAGGCCTGGCCCCTGCCTGTGGACACAGCCAGCCCCCTCCTCCTGCTCTGACCAGGAGCTCAGACCACAGCAGCCCAGCTTCCCGGGCCAGCAGCCTGGGCCCCCTCCTCTCCCTGGTCCCCTCACCAAGGGCTGCTGCAGCTGAAGGCCTGGGTTCCCAGTCCCTGGCTGCTCTCTCCCTGTTCTGAAGCTCAGGTCTCCGAAAGTGGCAGCAGCTCCCCTGACAGACTTACTGTGGCTGCATCTGCTCCCAGGTACTCCTCTGATCCCACACCAGCAGGACAAGGAAGCTTCATAAAGGAACTGCAGAAACCCTGCCTGTGTGCATATCCCCAGACAGCCAAGAACTCAGAGGGAGCCAATGCTACTGTTTTATTGTTGCAGGAGGTGGGGGCGTATGCACCGCACAACAGGGCTATAAGAAGCAAGAAGGAAGGAGAGAGGGTGGAGCCCCCTGTTGAGCAACAAAGGCCTCCTGCTCCCTTCTCTGTCTGTCTCCTGGTGCAGGCGCATGGGGAGACCGCCCCCAGGGTGGAGGCCACCAGTCCAGGGGTGGGAGCACTACAGGGGGTGGGAGTAGGAGGCGGTTGGTGTGACTGGCCCGGCACAGATCCCTAGGCTTCTTGACACCTGGAATTCACCAGGGACATTCTGTCCTCCCAGGGAACTTCATAGATCTGGAAGGAGCACAGCTGTTTCTGTGAAAGGGAAGAGAGGGGGCCAATCAGTGTGGGTTACAGTTAAAGGGGAAGACGCCCAGGCATGAGATGTCAGAGCCTGGGTGAGGAGGATGGAGGTGAGACACTGGGCCCACACCCACCCCTGCTGAGTCCCAGAGCACCGAACTAGAATGAATAGTGACTGTTCCATTGCCCCTCCCAAGGCTCCAAGTCACCAGGTGGCATTGGGCCCTCACCCCAGCCTGCAGGGTTCCTGTTCCAGCACAGCCCCGTGAGGAGCAGCCCGTGCAAGGCCTCCGGAGCCCCAAGGGTGCAGGGCAGGGGGAGGCGACTCGCTTCCCCCAGCTCCTTCCACCTCCAGCATCCAGGCCAGCACTAAGAGGGGCCAGAGGGAAGAGCCCAGGGCAGGGCAACTCCCCCTCAAAGAGCTGGGGCCTGGGGCAAGGGTGACAACGGGAGTGCGGCTCTCCCCTGAGTGGAGACTTCACAAGAACCAGCAGGTCCTTGGAGAGGCTGGTGTTGGGTGAGCGGGGCAGGTCCAGGGCTACGCAGCTAACAGGCCTCTAGGTCCCACTAATCTGCTTAGTGTGGCTGTGGCTGCGTGCAGGTGCCTGAGGCTGGGATTAGACAGAGCCCCTTCTCCCTGCCCAGCACCCAGCCCAGCAGCTGCTTCTTCCTGTCCAACAGGCAACACCCCAAAGAAGGCAGAGCTGACCTCTCAGTAACCATTAACCATTCCCAGGCTAAAGCCTTCCTAGCAAATCAAATACCTCACCCCCCTCCCTCACCACCCCATCTGCACACACATAGGCAACTATGTAAACTCACTTGGACCCCTCATCCTCATGGATCTATGTACAAACCCCCATACTGCTCCCACGCATCCACACAGGGTCACACATCTCCCTTACACCTCCCTGCACACACTGGCACATGTGTGTACACACGTGCACCTTTCTTCATGCACAGCTGCATGCACACACCCCCAAGTATGTGAACATGTACACATCCATGCATACATGGCTCCCCACACGCCCACCTGCACACACACACACCCTCCAAACATGGGTAGGGCAGAGGCTGACACATACACACTCCTCTGCAGTGCATGACTGGCCTGGGACCCGCATCAGGAACGTACCTTCTGCAGTTCTGGCTGTTCATGGAAGGCACAGGTGTCCAAGTTGGGCTGGGACTTGGTACATGTGGTTCGGCCCAACTCTACATCGAGGAAGTAATTCATTCCGGCCACGACCTACACACGAGAAAACAGGACGCAGGGACAGCGCTCCCCATCAGTTTCATGCACACACAGCACTTCACTGTGGCTGAGTCACTGGACTTGCTTGGGGCTTCGTGAGCTGCCCATATGTCACCACAAGGCACACAAGTCCCCTCTTCCTGTCAGCCGGCAGTGTGCTGGGCCTCATGCCTGCTCTTAAACATTGTTTTCTCTGTGCTGGGTAAAAGCATTCATTGAATTCTGCTACCTGGGGCTCAGGGGCGAAGGAACACTGAATCTTTTCTAGGAAGGCTGTCATCTGATGACAACATTTCAGCTAACTTCAGAAAATCTCATTCCCTCCATTTAACCTAGATTTATTCCTTCATTTAAGAGTAGGAAATGAAGTGCTTCACACACAGAGATGTTTTGGGTCAATAGGGCCTCCCGGATGCCACCATTTTAGGTGTGAGATTCGAGCTACTTTTCTAAAGTCAGCAGCACACCTGCGTGTCTTACAATTGCAGACTAGAATTGAACCCTTTCCCTGCACGGGGTCTCTCCCAGACACAACGTGGCAGAGCTGTGGAGAAACCTGGGATGAGGGACTCTGAGACCAGGGTGCTAGACATTGCCCCTTGGAACCAGGAGGAACTGCTGAGATCCCTCGAGTATCAGTTTATCCATATATAAAATAGGCTTCCGAGCCAGATGGTCTGCAGTACCCTGTGCTTCACTCCAAGTTATTGTCATGCTTGAAAGGGAGGTGCAGGCCAGCGGGGACCACTGCACCAGGAAGTGCACCTTGTGTGCAGGGTGAGGGCCCCAGCTGACAGCTGCAGGAGGAGAAATGGGGCTGGTCTGGATTCCTTTGAATTTCTAAGAGGAGATGGAGGAGCTCCAAAGCCTGTCTCACTATTTGCTGCTCTGCCATGGGATGCACGTCAAGCTGGGCCCAGTAGCCCTTCAAAGCTCCCTCCTGACCTGACCCCATCCAATGCTCTGCTGGGTGACTGCTGTCCTCATCTGGCTGAGGTCTAACTCTGCATCAGCTCGTAGAGGCAGGCTCAGGCATGCTCCACCCCAGCAGGGACTCAGCTGCCCTGGGCTGTAGGGGGTGGCCAGCCAAACCGAGGGTGAAGGCTGCTAGCCCTAAGGGGCTGTGCCCAGGGCGTGACTTGGGGAGGGAAACAGGGCTCTGCAGAACAGGGAGCCAGGTTCCCATGTGGCCCCTGCCAACAGGACTCAGGGAAAAGGATAAGTCTCATGGCCTCGGTCTCATCCTGAGCAGCATCAAGCCCACCTAGAGTCAGCACAGTCTCCACCCACACCTGCTGGACCCTGGGAAATGGCACGGTCGTGTCACAGACACAGCGGCTCCTGCAGGTTAAAGGAGGCTGAGGGGACAGACAGTGGCTGCAGGGCATGGCCGGGGAGCGTCCTAGGGCATGAAGGCTGTCAGGGGAGAGTCAGGGAAAGCTGAGTCTGAGCATTAGATCATGAATGTGTCAATGTTGATTTGCTGGGAATGCTCTTGGGAGTTGCGCGACAAACCAGGCTGGAACTCAGGACCTCTCAGGCGGTGGCAGCACCCACCTGCTCTCTGGCTCGCAGCACCCGCAGCGGGCGTCTGTAGTACTCATCTTCGGTGGCCTTGTTGTACTCGCTGATGGCGAGGTGAAGGGCACGCTGTACCCACTCATCATTGAGGTCTGCGTCATAGATGCCACCTGGGATCACCCTATCCTCCTCCTTGGGGCTCCAGGCCTGGGCCCCAGCCAGGGCGGCTAGCAGGAGCAGCAGGGTGCACAGGGGCTGGGCCATGGGCTCCTCAGAGGCAGAGCACAGAGCTGGAGCTGCAGGAGAGGTGAGAGCCTGAGGTGGGGAGCCCAGACCAGCAGGCAGCTGTGCATTTATCCTGCTTTGGCAGCCCAGCCCCACCCCCTCCATGCCACGCCCCTGACTCCTCCTCCTCTCTCTGCCCATCCCCTCTTTCTCCATCTCTCTTTTCAGTCCCCCACCACCACAAGCTCCCACCCTGCCTAAGTTCCCCCTGCCCCTCCCAGGCCTCCTCTTCCGTATCTCCCTCCTCCCCACTCCTGTCCTCACTATAGCCTCCCCGAGCCATGCCTCTCTTCCCTGGTGCTCCCAAGCTTGAGTCGCCTGGGTCTCCACAGAGATGGCACTGCTCCTCTGACACTGCTCTGTGAAAGCAATGTGACCTCCTGTTTGCTCAGAAAAGGGAAAAATGCAGGGTTTGCCCTTCGGGGTCTTCAGATATCAGGGGCATCCAGGAGCCCTTAGTCACAGTCTCTGAATCTCTGGAGCAGGGAGGTTATTTCAGAAGGTTCCAGAAGACCCTGTCCGCACCCTACTATGGAGAATTTCTTTGCCAAATGTAAGGGAATTAACCTGTTTGGAAAAGGTCACTGGGTTCTCTTTTCATAACTCATTATTCAGTAAACCAACCTGTCACCAGTTACTCCCTGTGCCAGGAGGTCTAGGGCTTGAAGACGGAACCTGGATGATGAGCCATAGAGGTGACGCTGCAGAGCTGCTGCCCAACAGAGATGTGACATGAACCCAGGAGCAACTGAAAATTTCTCGTAGATGCATTTTAAAAGATAAGAATAAATGGGTGAAAGTAATGTTTAAAATATTTACTTAACCTAATCTAGCCACAAGAGTATTTCAGCTAATGGGAACAATTATTAATGAGATAGTTTATGTGGTTTTTTTGTTTTGTTTTGTAAATCTTTGAAATTCCCTGTGTATTTTTTACACTTAGCCCAGGAGTCACTTTGGACTGGCCCCGTTTCAAGTGTCCCGTGGCACATGCGGCTGGTGACTATGGAACTGCACAGTCCATTCCTTACACAATGTGTGTAGGGGATGGTAGGTTATGATCAACAATTAGGATCAGGGAGTTATACTCACTTTGTTGAAAGTGAAATATTACAGGGGCTAGAGAGAGACCAGTGGACCCTGGTCAGGGAGGTCTCTACGAGACTGGAGAGGTTGAGAAGCCCCAGGCAGCAGGGAACAGCCAGTGCAAAGGCCCTGAGGTGGGGTTGGGCATGTCTGCTCCAGGAAAAGGAAGCTCCTGGAGGGGGTGTGAGCAGGGAAGGGAACGACCTGGAGTCTCATGGTAACTGTGGGTGGGGCCGGGTGGAAGGTACACAGAGACCCCTGGCAGGCAGTGGGGGTGTTAGGAGAGGGAGCAGCAGGCGCAGGGTGAATGTGGGAGTCCACGGGCCTCTCTTGCTTCTCTCCTAGGGAGCTATGCTTTGGGTTCCTTTCCTCTGCGCACTGCTTGGAAGACTCACCTGATATTTTAAAAATTGCCTTGAAGGAGGTAGAATTTACATACAATAAAATGCCTAATAGTATGTGCTCCACATGGAGGATTTCATACATGCATACACCTGTGTTACCACTTTGTCCAGACCTGTGACATCTGCCTTGCCCCAGACGGTATACTCCCACCTCTGCAGCTCACCCTCATGCCCAACCTGCCCTGGCATTCCCCATCCGGCCCTGTAGACTCCTTTGTCACCAGTCCTTGAGCTTCCCAGGAATGGAGTCCTACAGAGCGAGCCTGGGTGTGTCTTCGTCCTTTGCTCATCGTGGTTTTCCAGGGGCCCCTGAGTTACTTCATTGCCAGAATTGAGTTCTCCTTCTCCCCAGACTGAGAGGACCTGATCAGTTGGGTGCCCTGTGGGGTGACAAAGTCCCCAGCTCGGGATGCTGCGGGCGTGGGCTGGAATGTGACTCCAGGAGTGGGGAGGGTGGAAGGAGACTCTGAACAGACAGCTGTTCCCTTTGTTCTCTCAACCCCACCCTCCACGCCTGAAGGTGACCCTGTGGCAAATGCCCTTATGGTGAGGTGGCAGCTTGGCCAGAAACACCAGGAAATGCTGGGCCTTTGCAGGGCACCCAGAGGACTCTCCTGGGAGTGGTCGAGGTGAGGGTTGGCCAGAATCAGCCCAGACCTGCTGTGATCCTGGGGCTCAGCCATGGTTGGGGCTGGATCAGCAGGAACCCGACAGCGGGAGCAGTATTACTCTTGGGTGCTCGTGTTCAGTATTAGGACAGGGGACCTTGTTACCCAAGGCCCAGTGACCATCTCACTCCACTGTGAGTCCAGCATCAGAAAAGCCATGCAGCCCAGCAGATACAGCAGGTGGCCCAGGGATGGTGGTTACTGCTGGGTGAGGGAGGGAAGGTCTTCAAACAGGGCTGCACATATGCCTCCTAGTTAGAGAGGACATGGGGAGAGATTCCCAGAGAGGGAAAGAGAGGGCAGCCCCTGGCCAGGTGCTTGTGAGCAGAATGGTCATCTCCAAAGGGTAGGAGTTAGTTCTCCTCTGTGGCTCCCACTTTCCCGGGAGAGCTGGGAGTCCAGACTCAGGAAGACATGCTGCTGTGCAGAGGGTAAGCTGAATGTCAAGCAATCCTGTATTTTTTTTTTTTAGATCAGTGGAAGGGAGATGCAGGTAACCCAAATAGCGAGAATGTGCTGCTGGGTGGAGTGTGAGGGAGGGAGGCCAGAGTGCTGACCTGTGCCCCATATGTGATGACACCACCAGTGGTCATCTGTCAGGATACTGGCCGGCACTGCCTGGAAGGTCAGCTGTCCTGATGCAGCAACCTCTCTAATCCCAGTAGGAAAGATACCAGTGTAGGTTGCTCTTAGGAGTAGGTACAAGTGCGATGTCCAGTAAGGAGTGATAGGAAGTGGCAGGTTAGGGTAGCTGGCCAGCTGCTCCAGATGTTTGATGACCGTAGGCAAATGTTGTGTCTGTCGTGCATCTGGAGAAAGAGGCTACTTTGTAAAGCATAGTGTCTGGGAGTTCAGACCAGCAGAGATGAGCAGACTTCAGCAGCGATGTATCAACACGTTTGAAAATGATGGAGTAGCCAGGTGTGGTGGTGCACCTGTAATCCTAGCTAATTAGGAGGGTGAGTCAGGAAGATTCCTTGAGTCCAGGAGTTCCATTCCAGCCTGTGAAACAGTGAAACTCCCATCTCAAAACAATGACAGAACACTTTGTTCCCTGACTTCTATAGTCCACAGTTTTAAGGACACACTAGGAGGGGGCCAGATAGCAACCATGGACTGAGGAACAAGCCTGGGGCCTCCAGCTCCCATGTAACCTGGAGGAGTCCAGCTGCCCAGGAGGGGGCACGTTTTCCTTCTGCCACGTGACGAAAGAGAAAGCTGTGTTCCCCTAGGCTGCGTGGGTGACTACTGATCCGATCATCTGAATTAGCAGGATGAGAAATTAGGTGAGTGGCAGAGGTTCTCTGTAATAAATGGCCAGTAATAAGTGAACACTAAAAAATACTGTAATAAACAAACGACCAAGCGCAGAAAGCATCACCTAAAGGTGCAAGTGGTGAGGACAAGCTGGCCAAGAGTTGAAATTCTGCACATCTGGGTTTTGAGCAACTAACACTTTGGCCTATGGTAGGAGCTGAGACTGAGTAGCCACAGGATTTGGTGGCTTCTCAAATGGGAAGCCCAGGAGCCCCCTTTATGGAGTGCCTGGAATTCTCTGGGGTCAAGCTTGTCTCGTTCACACTCCATCGCTCCTTCTTTTCTCCCTCTCCTCAAACATGGCGGACACATGGATGTTCTAAACTGTGAGCCAATGTCGGTAACACATTTGGCTTTTCCACATCATTAGGAAGCTGTGATACTTATGGGGAAGCCAGCTGGTAGCTCCCGCAAGAAAAGGCGACAGGGCAGAGCCCAGTGCCTGAGGTCCTATTGTTTTGCACTCCATGGAGAGAAAGAGAATCCTTCCTCTCAGGGACCAGTAGATGAATAGTATTCATGGTTTTGGAATGCAAGTTAACATTTATTTTTCAAAAAGAGTATTTGTCAGTGCAGATTCAGTGACTGAAGAACTACATAGGAGTGGAGGGGAGTAGAGGCGGCCTCCAGGATCTCGGGCGGCTGGCTGCTGCAGGCAGGGATCCGTCTGACTCCCTGGGCTGCAGCCTGCAGAGGCCTGGACCCGAGGAAAACAGATGACTCTGAGGAGGTGAGTAATCTCCTTGACATCGCTGAGTGGTCAGATTTTCTTATCCTGTTTGGGTCACTGTTGGCACTTCCCTGTCACTGTTTGTGTAACCTTAAACATCAATTCCTTTAGCAAAGTGCAGTGACGGTGGAGAGTGGTTCCTGTTCCTGCTTGGAATCCTGCTAAACTCAATCACTGAGTGCTGGAGCTGGGGCCAGAGGCCATCAGGACAGCCCTGCCCTTCCCGTGACCCTGCCTGCCCTCTCCTCCTGTCACAGAGGAGCTGGATCCAGCGACAAGATTCACCTTGACCAAACCTTAGTTAGGCTCCTCTGAGCCTTCATCTCCCCTAGTCCTCAACCCTAGTCCCCAGCCCCTACCTCCTGTTCTTTCGAGGGCTGCATTGCCCAGTTTTAGGAAAGAATCCTGCTAAGTCAGTTTAGAAAGAATCCCCCCACCCTTGGTATCTGATCACTCTCAACATCTCATCAAGTTCTTCATTCCTTAAATTTCCCTTAAACTTTGATGTCTAAGGCTTTGGTCGCTGCCTTTAGCCAACCAATATGTAGAGGTCAGTTTATCTCAGAAACTCGCTACCCTTTTTGTCTCTGCCTTAGTAATTCCCATCCTATTCAACACCCCACCACCCTTGATCCGTGGGCTGTAAATCCCACCCTTCACCTTGTATTGAGGAGTTGAGCTCATTCTCCATCTCATTGTGAGAATCTTTACACCTGATTGGCAATGTCTCGAATCATCTCCCTACCCAAAGCTCAGGCTTCAAGCAGTGGAGCCTCCACATCCTCACTTTGCCCATAATGTCATCA